TGATTTTGTTTACGTTTTGTGGTACAGTTAACTGATTTTTATCTCTTCGGGAATGCACCTTAATACTTGTTATCATGGAAATTGTTCTATTTGCCTGCTGTTACATTGTGGTATAAAATGCATCAGCTAGTTCTTCGTTCCTCATGGAAATTCATTAGTTATTACAAAAGAAAACGTATTTTTGTTTTGTTTTTGGTTTTTTAGACTTGTCGTTTACAGCGCTTAGAAGTTACAGTTTACATAAGTTCAGTTTTTTTTTTGAAGGGGTTTTCCTTTCCATTCTATTTTGTTGGAATATTTTTGACTTGCCAAAAATTTTGATTGCTGTGTGTGTGGGTGTGGGGGTGTGTTTGTGTTTCCAGTGTTGTGTAGTGCTGTTTAAAGCAAACTTGTGGTTCAAATTTTTAGCTCATTTGTGTGTGTGTTCAGAGTTGTGTCTGTGTTTTAGACTAAATATATATCATATACTCGTTATATTTGCTCAACACTTAGGATTTTCATAATCTGTATATGCTTAAAATTAACAGCTTATGCGCTGAATTTTTCGATTTTATATATATATATTCTTTTATATGTATCTTAAAATTCGATGCCGTTGTTGTTGTAGCTGTTTGAAGAAAATTCAAACAATTTCGCAGTCCACAAAATGTTGCAAAAACCCAGAAATCTTTTTTTAGTGAGAGAGTGTGTGTGTGTGTGTGTGCTGTGTGTGTGGTGTGTGGGTGCTGGCATATTGCAAATTAAAGTATATTTCAAAACATTACGAATTTGGACAAGACAAAAACTTACAAAAAGTGTTGCATACTTTGCAGCTACACAAAATGTACTTAATGCAAATATAAATACTTAAATTAAGCTAGATTTAAGTCAAATCTTAAGTTTTAATTGAAGATAAAGGAATCTAACTCAAACCTTATAAACTTTTTTGCTGTTCCGAATTCCGTTTAAATATTTTTGGGTTTAAGAAATTCTCATCTTTTATTTTAGAATATATTTTTGATACGCAAATGGGCGTTTTATTATTATTTTTATAGTTTTAATTCGCATTCAAATACACATACACATACACATGCACACACTTGTTCATACAGTTGCCAAGTTTTGCTATCGAAAGTTATCGAAATCGATTTGGAAAAAGCAAAAACGAAACGATTTCGCTCGTGATTCTAAACACCAACAAAATAATCGGTGGAACGTGCGGAATTGAATCGTTTATGACTTTTGCAAAGAGCGCGGAACTCGGAACAGAGTTTTGTAAAAAAGAAACATTAAATTTAATATGAAATTAAAGTATTATCTATTAAATACTTAAATATAATTAATTGAATTCTTATATAGAAATTACTCTTGTTCAGCACGAAAGTGTTCAAATTGTTTTTGAAATATCAACAAATTTTACTTTTGGGTTTTATTTGCCCAAGGCCTACAATTGCTTTTCATTCCAATTAGTTTTTCTTATTCTTTTGTATATTTTAATCTGAATCTGCACATTTAGAAGTTCTGAGAATATTACAAACTAAGCACAACATCAATATCTGTATTATATGGCCTTTATATATATATATATATATCAGATATATCGGTTATTTTAGACACATTTAGTGCAATTTTTTCTATGTACAACAATCGAAAAATACATCCAATTTGTGCTAAATTTGCGTGAAATTTAAAAACATTTAGGAATCGAGTTTGGAGAATTGTTCAAATCTTTCTTTTTTGTGTTTCTTCTAGGTGCGAACTATATATATATATATGTATATACGAGGGCTGGCCTTGGAGTTGCCTGGTTAATCTTTGGTATAGGTACATATGGCTAATATATGCATTTATTTATCATATATGTATATATATATATTATATAGACATTCAAAATATGCTTTGTGTATGTATTTCTTTTGTAATTTGATTAGTTTCTGCTACTTTTGGAGATTTGTCATAATTTATACACTTATTTTTCGTTACTGAAAACATTTTTATAGGTGGTTGGTTAGTTTAAATTCATGGATAGAATGCAGGATGCGTTGCGTATTCCTCGGTACCCGCAGCCCAGATTAAGACTTTCATCCAGCGCACGGGGCGGGGCGGGGCGGGTGATAACCACTTGACCTATGGAGCTCGTCGGCCGGCAAGAAGAAGACGCATGAATGACAAATGTTAAGTGTGGCCGAATCATTTGAGTGTTGTCTGTAAAATAGCCAATCCCAAAAAATAACAACAACAAAATATATATGCCGCAAACAAAAAGAAAAACACAATTTGTTTTGTTTTTGTTTCGAGGTTTTTAAAATGTTTGTGTATTTTTTTTAAAGAAGTTTTTTTTTATGTTCCTATTTTGCATGTTGTGTGGCAATCTTTTACATGATCACATATATATATATATATTTTTTAGCTATATATATGTGTGTCTAGTTAGCTTTTGTATACATATATATATATATATATATGTATATTGTAATATTTAACGTTCGCCTCGGCTGCTGCATATGGTTCACAAATTTATTTAGTTTTGTTTTGCGACTGCCTTTTGCCTTGCAAATGAGAATTTATAAATATTTAAGACATTTTGTTGTTTTGCTTTTTGTTTTGTTTTTTTGTTAGGCAAATTAGCTACAGATTTTCATAGGTTTATTCAATGCCGCGACTCGCCGGACAACTTCCTTTTTGCGCTTTTGTTAACTGTTTGCAATTTGCAATGGAAATGCGTCGTCAGGGTTGCCAGACCGTCTCAAATTCAAACCGCGCAAAAAACATTTGTCACAAAAGGATTCTGGCTCAAGTTGTTAGGTTCTTGTATTTTCTCTTCTTTTTTTCTGATTTTTTTGCATAGTTAGAAAAATTCGTGTTTAGTTTAAAGTTAAATTTTTGTTTAAGTTTAGAGTTTGGTTTTTGCTTTTTTTAGTATTATATAGAGACCATATGATCATAGATATAACTTGCTTTAGTTTAAATGTTTTTGTTTTTAAAACTTGCACAATTTTCGCTACAAAATGTTTGTTTTTGTTTAAAAAAAGTTATAGAAAAGTGTTTGTGGTGTTTTTTTTTGCTGTTGCCCGCGGAACGTAAGGGTCTCGTTCCAAAGATCAAGCAAACCCAAAATGTTATATATATAATAGAATAATAATTAACTTTATCATAAGTGTAATCCATATTATATTATATATTATATTATACTCACAGTTGATTTTATTTGCAGTGGGGAGAAGAGTGTAACGAAACGTGTGACAAAATGGTGAGATGCGTATCTGTAGTGTAGTGTTGTGTAGTGTAGTGTATTGTGGTTTGGATAGTTATAGAAGAACGTTCAACAAGAGCAACAATAGCTAGAGGGTGGCTTAGGGGGGAAAACGAGCAGAGGGGTAAGTTGAAAGGAAACAAGGAAACGTTTTCGATATGAAACTAAATTAAAGTTAGTTCAACAATAAGTACAGTTGTGTTTAGTTTTTAGGTTAGGTCTGGCTTATGCGCACCGACATTGGGTACAGTTGTGTTTTGTTTTGTTTCTTTTGGGTCTTGAGAAGTACAGTTGCGCTCAGAGAGAGAGTGCGACTCTTGCGGTTCCTTCGAAGGTTTGTTTGCTTTTTTTTTTTATCGTAAGCTCACTTAACTTAAAAACAATATACATATATTATTATATAGGCACAATATAATACATATATAATAATATACATATATACACATATATATTGAGTTTGTTTTTTTTTCTTTGCCATTTTGCTTAACAAGTATTTTGCGACAATTTGTCTTTGCTTAAGCTTCTTTTTTTTTGTTTCGTTTTTTTTTTTTGCTTCATAATAATATAATTAGTTTTTAAATATATATATATATATATTGTAAATTTTATGCTGCTGTTGTTGCTGCTTCTTCTTCAACTACTTCGTCGTCTAGTTTGCTGTTAAGAGTTGTCTTCTTCTAGCTGTTCCTTTTAATTATTTTTTATATGTGTGTGTTTGATGAAATCTTCTTGTTCTGCTTCTCCGCTTCTGTTCCGCATATAAATATTTAATTTGTATATTCTTTATAATAAAATTATGTTAATTTTCTTTCATTTTTCTTCTTTTTTTTTCATTAAGTATATATATATATATTTATAGGTTAGTTTAACTTGTTCTTGCTGCCTCTTAAGTACTAGAGAAATGTGTAGTTGTTGCTGTTTTAGCGATTTGCTTTTTAATATTTAATGCTGCATTTATCAATATCAATATCAATATATGTATATGTATATATATGTATATATAGACAATTCGTAGACTACAAATTTTTTTGTTGCATAACGCTGCCAAACACTGGACCTCACCCCCCTCCCCCCCCTTGGGTGGGGAGGGGTCCTAACCGAACCTCAACTGCCAACATTTGAGTTGGAAAAAAACCCTTCCTCAGCGCGCCAAAGCTGGACTCTGGACCAGTCAGATACCAGACATATGCATATATATATATATAGCGCCATATTTAACTATATATATATATATATATATTGCATAATTTAATTTAATTTTATATCGAAAATGTATTTTTTTTTAGTTGGTTTTGTTGTTTTTTTTTTGTAATTTTTATTTTTGTTGTTTGTTTTTTTTTATATTTATTAATTTTAAATTTAAATATAATTTAATAAGAAGAATTTGTTGTTGTTTGATTTTACATTATTTATAATATATATATGTTGTATTTATAATATATTTTATTTCTGGTTGTTTGACATGTGTGTGGTGTGTGTGAGTGTGTTTTGTGTGTGTGAAGTGTATGTGTAGGTGTGTGTGTGTGTGTGTGTAGAGCTGTTGGTGTCTATATAAACTTTGCCAGTTTTGTTTTACTTTTTGCAAAAATTACAAATTGATTTTGTTTTATTTTTCAAATTTGTTTTTGTTGAACATTTTTTTATTTTTGCAACAAATTCGACAAATCTTGTTTATACTTGAAACAATTTAGTTTTACACAGTTCAAATGTTCGCCGCCAGCTGGCGCTGCTCTCCCGATAGAGGGCGCTGCGCGCTTTGCTTGGCGACTGTTGTTGTTGTTGTTGTCGTGTTGTTTGTTATAGTGTGGTATGCCTGTAGTTAAGTGTAGTAGTTTAATTTTTGTTGTTGTTTACTTATAACATGCTTTTTGTTGTTGTTTAAACGGTGACTTCTTTAAGTTTTGCTGTTTTGTTGTTGGTTTCTTTTCTTTTTCGCTTTTTGCATTAAAATTAAGTGTGTTTTGTTTTGTTTTTTATATAATTTTTCATGTAATTTTTTCTGGGTTTTTTTCTCATTTTTTGCTTGTTTAAATTTTCTTGCTTTTTGCTTTTCTCTTTTCTTTTCTTTATGCTTCGTTTAAGTGTAAGTTCTTTTCATTTTTTTTTATAAGTTTCTTAAATGTTGTTGTTTTTTATGTTTCTTCTTCTTGTTGTTGTTTTGTTTTTTGCTTAACTCTTTGTTGTTTTTTTAAGATCTTTTACTGGGGTCCATAGCAACAGCGCGGCGCGATGTTATTGCGCACAGCTACAGTCTTCGTCAACATCTTAAAAAAATAGAAAGGCTTAAAAAGAAATAATTTAACGCTTCACTTCGATGTCATCATAGTCACGAATTCTGAAATGATAGAAAGAAGAAATATATAATTAGTTGGCAATTTCATAAACACATTCAAAACTTAAATTAAGATAAAATGTAGCTTTTTTTAACAACAATTTTATTCCTTTCTTGATCCAAATTAAATGAAAGTTCAATTCAAAAGAATTCTAGTTAGTAGCTTGTAAATTTACAAGCAGCATTTACAATGAACTTGAGCACTTTACAATGGACAATGCTGAAAATTCTGTAACCTAAAATAGCTGCATTAACCTTCCGTCTCTTAAAAAAGACAACAACTAATCATTATAATGGTTCGACAAGCATTACAACAACATCAAGAATGCCAACCAGAACTGCAAATAGATTTGTCGTACGCCGAGACCCAAAAGATTTCTCAACTAATCAATAAGACAAATAGGCGAGTCACAAGATGCTACGGGGCCGCTGACTGACAACGACGACGACGACTGATGAAAAGCCGCTGAGAACTCGTATAGGCAAGAAAAACGGGGGAATATTTATTAAGTGCCGCTGCCAGACGCGCCAGATTAAAAGACCATATAAAAATAATGGGGGAAAGGCAAAAAATAACGAAATATGAATTCGAAGAATTTGAAATACGCTGTGCGGGAAAATTTAGTTTATAGAAAAGGTACGAGATGGAATCAAATGGGAAATTAAGGCAGGATGGAACTAGGTGTTGAAACATGTTCCATTTCAAATGTTTCAAACAAAGAAGTCTCATTTCTTATAGCGCTCTTAACTGGCACGATGAAACATGTTCCGTTTTAAACGTTTCAGAAAAAATTTTACATTTCTTAACAGTTAAAACATGTTCCATTTCAAACGTCTCAAAAACCAAACGTTTCCTATAGTGTTTCTATATGGCAAGATGAGACATGTTCCATTTTAAATGTTTCAGGCAAGAGTTCAATATTTCAGAAGAATTTGCAATGAGTAAAGTAGTGAATACGAAATAAAGGAAAATTAAACAGTGTTCCACTTCCAACATTCCAACAACAACAAATATATAAAGAATGAAAGTTGACAGGTTTGGAAACAAAATAATAGCATATTTGGAAAAATTAAGGAAAAACTGGGAACAAGTGAAAAAGTCGAGAAGTGAAAGAGTGAATAGACCCCGTTCGGCGTGTACTCTATACTCACTTACTTTGCTAAGTATGTGAACCAAAAATAGCGACTGCAATCAGAGCAGGAAAACGAGACAAAGAGCAGTCGAGAGTCGCGATAAAGATGAAAAGTGATCCAAAGGCAAGGCGCGGGCATTGTTCGATTTGAACTGATTTTCATTTTGCTGCTAAAAGCTGAAGATCATCGAGCGCGCAATCAGTGGAGATTTGTGTGTTTGGGTACATATTTAATTAAGGGGCGATTGTGCATAAAGACAGAGAGAGAGACAGCGAGGGAGGGAGGGGGGACAAATTGGCAACGCTGTCACCGAACGTTGGCCGCTGAAACGCTTCCGCAGCTGGTTGGTGCATTCGTGTCCCCGATATATCAGGTGTTTGCATGCAGCTCCTAAATATAGACAAGTGACTGCCTCCACAAACAACACAACCCCATTCCCACCCTCCAACCATCCCTTGCATAAGCAGCTGCGATGCTTTTGCTATTCGTTGATGCATTTGGCCTATTCTATTGTTCTATTGGTCTTCTGCTGCTTCAGCCTCTTGTTGTGGTCGCGCGCATTTTTTAAATATTTGCAGCATGTGAAAAAAGTTAACCTGTTGGCCACACCAAATACGTAAGACGCGACCCACAACACCTGATTGATGACCTGTGACTGACCCAAACTGAGGGCGGGCAGACAATTAGATCTACCCAGATCTAACACGGGATCATATTATAGCATAAATAGTACACTTGAATCCAACTATTTCTCATTTCTCATGTACCAGATGTTTTATAGAGTTAGCTTAGTTTTCATTTAAGTTTAATGTTCCTAATGCACACTGTTTCTTTCAGCTTTATTCTGCATTGTATTGTGTTTCAGTTCCATTTTTTTTTGTGTTCTGTGATTCTTATCCTCCATAATATATTCCTTCCATTAGTTCCATTTTATTCCACAATCCCTGAGTTCAGTCATAGTGTGTAAGGGAAATATATAGAACTGTTTCCTTGTATATTACGTAAATGTAACTTTCCCTGTTCCTTAACCACATTCTTTCTTTTATCTTTATTCTGCATTGCATTGTGTTGCAATTCTAAATGTTCAACTTTTATTGGTTTTCTGTCATTCTTTTCCTTGACCATTACCATTATACATTCATTCCATTATATATAAAACCCATTCCACATTTCTCGAGTGCCTGTTTCCAGTTGTTTCTGCTTAAATGATTTTACCGTTCCAATCCATATATTAATTTTTCAATATATATATATATAAACATATTCAATATATATAGATTTATATAGCAATCTTTCCACTCGTTTCACGTGAACGTTTATCCCTTTTTCAATTTCGTTTGTTTAAGACAATTGATTTTCCAAAAATTTCACATTCGTGGCTCCCCCCACAAACTGAATCCTTTATCTTACACTCCTCTATAGTATAATCCATTTAAATGACCAAATTCCGCGCATTTTGCACGTTAAGTAATAAACTTTGCAGCGTAAACTGTTTTAAAAATAAAACGTTATTATAGGCAGAAACGCAACGTTCGATATGTGAACTGAATGGCAAAAAGTTCAGGGGGCACGCCCTGACAACCTTTCCGTTATTATCTCTTCTGACACGGCACAAATATGCAAATGGTTTGGTTTTGTTGGTTCTGTTTCCGAACCCAACCCAAATCGAGTTGGCGTAAGAACGTTTGAATGTTTCTCATCATGTGTTCGGGGTTGGGCCTTGACATTTCGCAGTTTCTTCTTCTTTTTAGAGCAAATTTTCTTAATGGGTTTGATTTCGAGAATGTTTCTTTGCGTTCGGGGTTTGGGCGATTAAAATAAAATTTAAACTCTATTTTATGGTGCAAAAAGAAAATATAGAGATGTTTTTCGATTCGGCCCCGCAGCCCGCACTCCGCACTTTTGGGGCTTTTGTGGCTCTGCTGTTTATCTTTCGTCGTTTTGTTTACATTCGCCAGCTCATACTCGGTTTTTTTCCTTTTTCTTTTTTTTTTTTTTTTTGTTTCCATACATTATTTTGCCGCGCTTCTGTGCTAATGTTGAATTTGTTTTTCTTTGTATTTTGCTTAACATTTTATTTGATTTTCGCCTCTGTTTCTACGATTTTTTTTTGCGTTAATTCTTTTATTTGCTTTTTCGCCTATTTTCTGACAACATTTTTATATTTGGCATGGAGCCAAAGTAAGTCTCATACTTGTGCATATAGCTATAGAGTCGGGTCCGGCCCATTGTTTGCGCTATATAATTTTCAGATGCCGCACAACACCCCGCCGAAGAACCCCAAAAAGAGCCGCCCTTACCAACAAACAAGCCAAGACAACAATAAAGACTTTGGTTAATTGGCAAAAAGCAAATGGCAACAACGAGCATTTATTTATGTTATGCTCATTTCGCTATATACCATATAATATATATAATTATATATATACTATATATGTATCTAGGTGTGCGACGACGGGGTGTTTGGGTTGTCGGTCAATGTTCAAACAGCTCGCCAAATTGCCTGCTGCCAGTTATTGCTGTTCCCTTCCCTCTTGCTCACACTCTAGCTCTTGTTCTTATTCTTATTTCACCTTCTTGTTGTTGTTGTTGTTGTTGTTGTATTCTTTTGTTTTTGAGATTATTGCACAATATTTATATTTGATTTTAATTGTTGTTGTTTCACTTCCCTGATGCTATTGCCGTTTAACATTTATGTTTTTTTCTCCTATGAAACATTTCACTTCGCGCGCGTAGGCTGGCTGCGGAAAAGCCCGCTGGGAATAAAACAGCTGACAAATGTGCAAATGCGACCATGTGATCTGAGTGCTGTAGCAGGCAGCTGTTGAGGGGGTACATAGTAGCACAAAAGACAACAAGAGAGAACGTACAAATGGAGGTCAGTCGCAGCAGGCAGCTTAGTTAATTGGAACAGAAGGGAACAAGTTAGAAAGGCGTGAAAGAGAGGAGCCAGGACAAAGGCAGAGCGAAAGATATAATCAAGAGCAGAAAGGATAAGTGCACTAATAGATGATGGTAGCAAGATGGGGATATGAGAGTGAGAGAGAGTAAGAGAGAGAGAGAGCAAAGGTAAGAGAGAGAGTAAGAGAGAGAGAGCAAAGGTAAGAGAGACCGAGAGACAGAAAAAAAGAAAGGGAGAATAAAAGAGAGAGACAGAGAGCGAGAGAAGGAAAGAGAGAGCGAGAGAATGAAAGAGAGAGAGAGAGAGAGAGAGCGAGAGAGAGAGAGAGAGAGAGAGAGCGAGAGGAAACAGAGAGAAAGAGCGAGAGAATGAAAAAAGCCAGAAAGAAAGAGAGACAAAATATAACAACTTTAAACTAGATCTCTTTTTTAGTGGTATCAGCGTAGAGAGTACAGAGTAATAAACGAATGAATGTATATTTTATTTTTATTTTGTTTTTTATTTTACCTACTTCTAAATATACCATTTAATTCTGTATATTATATCCGCTCCTGGAAAACTATTAATATTAAGTTTCTTGAATTTAAGTCTTTCTCTCTCTTACAAATATTGCAATCGCATATTTAATCCCAGGTAAACACAGATGTCACAGACTCGCTCATAATCTTAAAATTAAGTAACTGCTGCTAATGGAATGTCGTATACAATTTTGATTAAAACAAAAGTCCACTTAGTAACGCTTGACGTTTTGAATTGTGGCCACAAAGCATCTTTTGGCAATATAAATTAATAATTTTATATGACAATTAAAACCCGTTTGATGATTAGATTTCAACGAAATAAATTCTGTAATTTATAACCAAGTTCAAACACAACACAAACAACAAGAAAAAAGAGAACCATTTCATAATGAACTTTCGTCTTATCATCCGACTTCGAATTTAATAAGCTGATTAGCAACTGATTTGGCAAATCAAATTATTAACGCAACAATTAATGCAACTGATTAATTTACTTCCCAAATAGATTGTCAGAGCCCTAATCAAAACTCGCACAAATGCCATAATTTGTAGGTTTTCCCCGCCTTGACTTTCAACAAGATTTGTAGCGTTCCGCGGTTGCGAAAAGGGTGTACACCTATTTTTATATGGTTTCAGTTGGTTATTTTTATGTTTTGTTCATAAATTGCTTGTGATTAATCTATTTGATCCGCGAAGATTTTGCGCCAAACGATTTTTATTTGAACTTGAGGCACAATTTCGGTGTGCGTTCTGTTCAACTCGATACGTTCTAGACAAATATATATATATATATATATATATATATATGTAGGTATGTATATATATATGCACATATATCTCTGTGTATTTGGCCGACATTTGATTGCTATTGCGGGGCAGGTGCGGACGCGGTTTTTGTTGCTTCTAAGTACAATCAAAGCAACGCGCTAGGGGGCGCAGGGCGGGTTTGAGGGTGGGAGGTGGAAGGGGGGCGTACGACACAGCATGAACAAAATCTTAACACCTTGATTCTATATTGCTCCTTGTATATAGTTTTTCTTCAGGGTTTGCTCTCTACTTTGCTCAATTGAAAATTCAATTTTCAAGCAATTAAATTAAATTTCGAAGAACACACAAAAAGAACAATTTTTAAAAAATGTAATGCCATGATGTACTCGTTCATACCCTAGAACGAAGCGTTCTAGTTTCTGTATAAACAATATTTTTAATGAGGGAACAGTAGAGGAAATGCAAGAAGTTTGAGCTTTTGGTATTTGAGTCCACAATTAATATATAAGAATAAATTTTATAATTCTTTCTATATAGATTTTAGACATATCACGGTTTGTTATCTTCATTTATGTGGAGAAAAATAGGAAGTGGAATTCTTTGAAAGCAAGGCCTTTAATTGTTCTTAGCGAGCGTTTACTGCACCTGAATGTTTTCCTATATATAAATTATTTGAATCTGGATAAAAAGTAGCTAAAAAATAGGAATTGTTGTTAGCGAGTGTTTACTGTAACTAAATGTGTTTCTAACATCAATTATTGGAATCTTTGTCTAAATAAAAAAGATAAATGACAGCACTTTTCTCATGAAAATTCAGTTAACTATAGACTTCTATAGAATTCAAATATGTTGGAACTTCCAAAATGCTCTTCAAACTGAATTAGAGGGTATTAAAAAATGCGATAGACATATATATGTGCCAGGCTGCTGCTGTCTATAGAGAATTTTGCTCGCAAAAAAAAAAGCGACTAATGAATCAGTTTATATAAAATATCATGAGTAAAAAGTAACGCATGACAAAACAAGTGCCAATTGTGACTCAAATATAGTTCGAGTGTGCGTTGGGTGTGTGATTCAATCGGCAGCTATGCGAATGTTTTGGCATCGCACACACATAACCCAGCAATAAGTCAATTGTACACATGCAATTACCAAAGCCAACAGCAACAACAACAACTGTTGTGCGAATATCCAATTAGTGGATGACATGACACGACACAACTACAACAACAACAACACGACACGCGACAACAACACGTAAGCCAGATAAGTCCCAACGTTGTTGTTGTTGTTGTTGAGTGTGGGGGGGGTCATTTTATATGAGAGAGAAGGGGGGGGGGGGGGCATATGCTTACCTTCGTAATTGACCTGACCATCACCATCGATATCAGCCTCACGGATCATCTCATCGACCTCCTCGTCTGTTAATTTCTCGCCCAAATTTGTCATTACGTGACGCAATTCGGCCGCTGAAATGAAGCCGTTGCCATCCTTATCGAACACTCTGAAGGCTTCCCGAATCTCCTCTTCGCTATCGGTGTCCTTCATTTTGCGTGCCATCATGGTAAGGAATTCTGGGAAATCAATTGTACCGTTGCCTGGCAAAGTGGGGAAAAGTTACAGCAATTAGTTGCAAATTCTTGTTAAAATACGATTTTATTATTGTATATGTATTCATTTTCCGTTTATTTGGAGATTTAAACCCAAATTAAATCAAATATATTTATTATATTTATGTAAGTCTTCAATTTCAAACGAATTTCACTAGATTTTAGCTGGGAACTTATTTCGTTTCATTTGCCCTGCTTTAAAGTTTACAACACATATCCTAACTTAAGGCCAGTGTGACCAGTCTTTTTAATAATCAATTGAAAATAAATTCATACTATTTGATCTATATAAATTTATTTAAATACTCGTTTGGCTTTCTTGCAAATTTTATGGGTCTTAAGTTTCCAATCCCGATCATTCTAAATTTCGATTGAAAACTTATTTCGTGTCATTTTCATTGTTCCAAACTAAGTGTGACCTGTCTTTTAAATAAACTGTGCTTAAATGTTACCAAAGCCATTTGTATACTTGAGATCTATATAATTATATTCCAAATAATCATCGTAAGTTTTTACTAAAGTCTTACAAAAGTATTATTTATAACTATTTCGCGCAACGAACTTTTGTTTATGTTTCATTCTCATTGTTTCAAAAAGCTGAACTCACTGTATTAATTTATTATTTAGCTCTGTTTAAAAGGTCCAAAAAGCGCTAAAATGTATATCCGATTTATTAGTTTTAAATTCATTGTAGAGAAATATACGACTACCAAAAATTAATATATTTTCATTCGGATATTCAAGCAAGTTCTGCATTGCCTGTTAAACCACGCATTTTAACAATATATCTTTACAGTTTCTCACCTCCATTAAGAACTTCTGAAATGCTCCCCATTACACGATTGTAACAAATGTTCAAGCCATGAAATTCCTTTAAGAGCGTTTTACCTATTTCCACACTTTCCCTGGGGCAATTTACGAGGCAAACATATTTCTTTATTATGAAGTTGGCAGCTGACTGTGGCACGCCCTCATTGTGTACCTGTCGGCTATATAAACTAGAGCTCTTAAATCCCTTTTGGCCCACACACACACACACACACACACACACACACACACACACACACACACACACACATATATAAATCCCCTCGCAGCCATAATCAAGTAGATTTTCATATTTGTCTAAGCCCGTGCCGTATCTGCCCGCCCCGCCCAAGCCGCCCGCTGACCTAGGTCTGGCTGAAAGGATTGGCTCAACTTTTCGCATCTTTTTTTCTTTATTATTTTTCTTGGCGTGGCACACGTGGCGTATGCGCAACATTTGTGGCGCTGATAACTTTACTGCTGGCCCTGGCCAGATAAGCCCGAGCTGCTAAGCCCTGTTTGGGGCGTGTTGGACGGAGCAAGCTTCGGAGGTTAACTTGAGGTTTGCGTCGGGGCACAAATGAAGTGGCCTCTGCCTCTGCCTCTGACTAAAACTCTTGTTAGACTAATTGAAAAAGTTTTACTTCACATTCTGTGTTTAAAGTTTGAGCATAGTTCGAGTTGTTTTTTTTTTCACTTCCACTTCTGTTGTTGTTGTTGGGGTCGGCCGTTTTTATGGTTCTCCATTGGCCAAAAAGGAAACTTTTCTTTTGCCTAACCAAAAAACTTTCCGTCGAACTCTGAGGCCTTAATTGTTATTGACTCTGGGGCAGGGCCTGGCACATGTCTATTGCAAAAGTTTTCTTTTGATAGCATTGTGTATTCTATAAAATGTATAATATAACCAACTAATGTCTGCTCTCTTAATGGTGCGTGGCTAATCTTTGAAAATAATGTTACGATTATGGTTTAGGCTCGGCCCCTTTTCATGACTGTCTCAAGGGCTTGAAAGAGTTTGCCAAGCTTGGGCACATTTTATCTTTTTCTAACTGGTGCTTGGAAAGTTTTTCCACGAGAGCCACTTGCTTTTTCAATTTTTCTTTGTGTCGCTGTTCCTTAACGTTTAACATATTGAGTGCATATTCTTTCATTTCCTCTTTGTGCTACAATCTTCAACATTAAACTTGTCGGTACTTATGTCTCAACTGCTATATATATATTTCCCTTCTCCTTAACACAACTCTCTCATGATTCTTATTTTTTAATTTTGCTTTGTCTTGCTGTTCCTTAACGTTTTACATATTGAGTACGTAGTCTTCTATCGCATTCCTCTTTATGCTACAATCTTTAACATAGATATATTTCCCTTTCCTCCTTCTATTGATAACCTTCAATTGCATATTTCTTTTTTGTATGCTGTTCTTAAACGTTTCACATATAAATTTATTTTTGTCTTATTGTTGCATTCCTATGCTTTTACACACAATATGGAAATGCTAACTCTCATTTATTCCTTGCCATTCATTGCTAATCGAAGTCAACTTTTAGTTTTGAGTAGAGTGGAGTTGCCAGCCTTTAGAACTCTTTAATTCAGTGTTTTTATTCATAACTAATTTATGATTTAGTATTATCATACTTGCTCATGTCTAGTGTAACCCATTTTTTTTCAGCACTCGCACAATTACAAATCAATGTTACCCCATCGTTTAGCGAACATTCCTTAAAACATACGATTTGTAAAATTAATGTTTAGCTATCGTATTTAATAGCCGCACACGCACATGCAGACACAGACGCAGTCAATTATTGCTGCGCTTGCTCAAGTTCAGATACAAATACAAATCAATTCACACGCGCTGTTGCTCAGCTACTCTCCGAGGCCCAAACGAAAATAAGACGATTAACAACTACATTAAATCTAAGCAAACAGCAAAATAAATATTGAAATCTTTATCATAAAAAATGCTAGCAATGAAAATTGAACAACAAAAAATAATTATTATGATAATTGAATTGAGCATTGAAATAATAAGCAAAGAGAAAAATATAATCTTAAGCACATATCTCGGGAAATAATGGGGTGTTTCGGGTTCGTTTCGTAGCGCCATGTTTATACACAAGAAGAAATCAAAATATATATTCTATTTTAAAACATTATTTTGACGCGAACTCTGTCGCTGAATTTGGCTAATGCGGACTCTTAGGATTTCCCCAATACGAAAAAAGAATTTGAAAATAATCATAAAAATAAATACAAATTTCTTGCCATTTTTGTGTGTGTTTTTGGCCAACTAGGTATATGGTTGGGGAACTGTTAGACGCGCCTTAGACAAAAACGCTTTGACAAGGCTCATATGATGACGATGTCTTTTGCCAATTTCTGATGCCAATGTCTGGTGGTTTTTGGTTTCCATTACCCATTACCCATTACCCAGACGAGTCATCTTCACACTTCCTCTAGAAAGCCCGGCAAGCAACCGTTTTCCATTTCCCTCTATACGTTTCGCAACGTTGCGCAAATTTTTGCAGACAATTTAAAATTTTAATAAGATTTTTTTCTTCTTTTTTTTTGCAACGCTAAATTTAGTTGGTTTGCTTGGGACAGACTCTTTATAAATAACACATTGGGATTCCTTGGCTTCTCTGCAGCAGCTTTGACTTTTATTTTGCTTCTTTATTTTTGCACTTTTCTGCACTTTTCGCTTGGCTTTCAATTTATTTCATTTCCATATAGCTGGACAATTGTTGTGCCATTTGCAACTCCCAAGACGACACCCCGAGGAGGCGGTTGACGTGTGGATGGGGCATATATGGGGGGTCCAGAGAGCGGGGGAGCGGGGGGCGGGTCTCTAATGGCGTCGTTTGTATGCGGCTGCAGTTTTTGGACAACGTCGTCGTCGTCGTCAACCAACTTGGGCGATGCCAACAAAATTTTAAGTAATGAATGTTTAATGTTTCCGTCTGTTGTTCACAGACTACAAAATTTACCCCACACACACATGTGTGTGTGTGCATTTCAAATATACTCGTGTGTGTATATATATTTTATATAATTTTATGCACGAAATGCCATTTGCCCACTCAGATCGTAAAATCGGCGAGATAATCGCTATACCCCCCGGGTTACTATACCGACAAAATCCCCATGAATAGCCATGTGAATAATGCAAAAAGTGAATGAGTGCTAAACAAATAAATCTCAGTATAGTGCACAGCAATTCTAATATCTAATATTTAACTCATGTAAACTAATTACAAGTGAACACCGAAAACAAATTACTGTAATTGTAATTGTATTTACGACTGTCAGACAGTGTGACCAGCCAAAATGTGTACGCCAAAATTAGGCTCTTTTCACATTTGTTTTGTTTTCTTTTAGTAGAGCATAAGAAATTGTATTTCTTTTTTAAGAAACCCATTAAAAAGCATTAAAATTTTGGAATTTTTCACACACAGTTTTTGTAGTACGAAGCGAAGAAAAAAAGAATAAAAATAAAAACAATTTCTAGAATTCTAGAAACTATTTTACTTGCCATAAACATTTATATTTTATGCCTTGTTTAATATCTAGGCTAAAATGCTCGCTATTTTAGAAATGAGCTCAAGCTGAGTGTAATTAGAATATTGTTAGGGATAAACTTTAAATTAGAGTCCGATTTGAAGTGTATTTTTTTATATATCATTATTCATGAAAAGAATCCTAGCTGCCTGGATAATATGAGGATTATATTTTCTACGTGAAACAGATTTGGAAAGTTGAATTAATTTCGGAACCGAAACGTTCCAGTTTGCAAGAACATTTCATCTTAATCATAATCATTATAATCATCTGTTCACAAATACATCCTTGTATGTATATCGAGAATACAATGCCATTTATACTTGCATATGTATTTATATTCATATACATACACACGTACATTTTTACTCCGTCTTCAACTCCATTTCGTAATAAAATCACAACTCTACCACACATATGCATACATCGACTAACACACACGCAAACGCGCGCGTGCCCACATATGCAAAAGAAAGCCTCTCTCAAGTGCCGTGAGCCAAGCAACTATTTTTAGCTCCGCTGATAATCATCAGTCAGTCAGCCAGCTAGTCAGTCAGTCAGTCAGTCAGTCATTCGGTAAGTCTGTCATTCAGTCACCCAGTTGTTTCTATTTCGCTTACTCCCCAACTGCTCCGTTGCCTATCCACGTGCTTTATGTGCTTGTTGTCCTTTGCGTTATGCTTGACGCATGCGCTGCGCAGCGCCTTTTTGCAGACTTTGCCCTGGATTTTTCATCACATGCGCATTTTGCACGTGCAAACGTACAAGAGGAATCAGCAAGAACAACAACAACAGTAACTGTAACTCTAAGTAACAACAACAGCAACAGCAGCAACAGCAGCAGCAGCAGCGCAGCCTCTGCAGGCAGAGTGGAAGAGTAAGAGGATGATAGTGCTCTGCTGCAGACATCGCGTGAATAAGTGAGAGAGTGGAAGCTGATGGCTGCTGCTTCAGATGCTGCTACGTTACTGCTGCGACTGCTGTTGCTGCTGCTGCGACTGCTGTTGCTGCTGCTGCGATTGCTGTTGTTGTTGCTGCTGCTGTCGAATGTGGGTGACTTTGGTTCGGTGCTGGAATTTTATCTCCTTGCACTTTTTACTTGTTACACTTTGCACTTGTCGCTCGTTTGTCGCGTTTTGCTTGTGTGCGTGCTGCTGCCGCTTATTGGGTGGGGCCTGTGTTTTATTTTTAAGCTAATTGTCGGGCTTTGGGCATTATGCAAAAAGCAACAGCACAAAACGAAGCGCGCGCACGCACGGACGCACACACACACGCACGCACATACATGTATGCATAAAAAAGTGATTTATTATTTGTGAAAATTTATATAGCCCGAAAGCAAGAAAAAAAATATATATAAAAGAGATATTCTCGACACATTTCACAACTGCTAAAAATACATATAAAAAGCCACACGAGCGTTTTCGCTCTCTCTCTCTCGCTTTATCCCTCCCTCTCTCGCTCTTTCTCTTTTACTCTCTGGCCAAAACTGTGCAGTGTTGAGCAGTTTTTGGTGCAAAAGGTGAAAAACCTCAACGGGCGACACATTTTCATTTGGCCGAAATGGCGCGCGGCGCCTATCGCTCAATTTCTTTTCATACGCTGTTAAAAATAATTTATATACTTTTTTTTTTAAATTTATACTTTTCTCTTTTTTTTTTGTGTTCAAATTCTTAGCGTTGCTCTAAAAGACACGCTCCCAGTTTGGGAACTCAACCACCTTTTGTCAAAAATCCTGTGTGCATTTTTGACAGCAGCCAGCCCGCAATTACAATAACAACAACAAAAACAACAACATTAGCCAGCAAAGCAATAGCCAAATATTTTTGGCCTAATCTATTTTTAATGGCTATGACGTGTTTTTGTTGCATATTTTTAGCCGGTCGCAAAAGAAGACGCGAGAAAACACGAAGAATTCGTTGTCTTCCCGTCCTTCCCTCTGGCCGTCCGTCCATCCGACCGTCCGTCTGTCTGATCTATTCATTTTCACAGAGCGGCGGCGGCTGCATTTAAGAATAGATCTTTGCAGTTATCGAAGAGTTTATTATTAGCTTGAAAAGGGTTCAAAGCAATTAGCGCAATAGCGAATATTGTAAAAACGAACCGATCTCAAGTGAAACTAGTTCACGAATTCGATAATCGAATTCGAACTGAGTATTTTTCTCTTTGAGAAAACCCTAGAGATCACCAAATCGTTTACGAATGCGACACAAAGAGGAATGGAATTGCGAATTATTGATGCCAAAACTCTATCGCTAGACGGTTTCAGTTTTATAAACCCATATATAAAATGTCCTACGTTTACGTAAGCGATTTAACTGAAAAAAATGTACTCTATAAACTAGACCTACAAAGTAACAGATAGGTATATTCCCATATGAACAAAAAGTTTCTATAAATATCAGCTTAAAAATAAAACGTTTACGAAACGAAAACAAAAGAAAACTGCAAAACTCTGAGCTTAGACAGGACTCTAGCTCTAGTCGACGGTTTCAGTTTTATAAATCCATATATTAAATGCCCTACGTTTACGTAAGCGAAACTCTATAATTAAACTCTATTAAATAAACCTACAGAATTACAAATAGTTATATTTCCATATGTGAATGCTTGCAAAGATTATCTATAAATATCACCGCAACAATAAAATGTTTCCTACAAAGTTACATATTGTTATATTCCCGTATATTGCAATATATCAACTTAAATATAAAACGTTTACGTATGCGACACAAAGAGGAATCGAGAAACCTCAGGCTCTCGGAATAGCAAGCACCCAATCCCACCCTAAAGTGACTGCTAGTTGATATTACACATACATACGTAGATAATATTAATTGTTAACTCACCATCGGCATCGACCTCGTTTATCATATCCTGCAGCTCAGCCTCTGTGGGGTTCTGTCCCAGGGAGCGCATGACTGTTCCCAATTCCTTTGTTGTGATGGTGCCATCGCCGTCTTTGTCGAATAGCGAGAACGCCTCTTTGAACTCAGCGATTTGTTCCTCTGTCAGCTGATCGGCCTGTAGAAACGAGACGGCAAGAAAGACAAGAAATTTAACCAAGAGAAAAGACATCGTTTTGTTGCTTAATTTCTTATTTTTTCAAATACCATAATTCAGCTTTCGATTGAACCAACTTGTTTCTATGTATAATATTTGATAATTAATTTGCTGTCAAGTTTATGAAGTGCTAATGAATGATGAAACTGGCGACGACTACTTGATGTTATTTAAATGCCAACAAACTGGCAAGTATTGCCCGGCCTTGCGCGGCAAGCTTTTTCAAACATGGGCAGTAATTTATAAATAGTAAAGAAAATACGTCAGAAAGTTTGGATCATCAATCAGTCAATCCGTCAAGCAGTGCGTGTGCTGATTGACACAAACTGGAATGCAAATAAGGACAATTGTATCTTAGAAAAACAATTTGCAATTACAATACAATATGCGTTCCAAGTCAAAGAGCCCCAACAACCATAAAAAGACACGAGAACAATAAAAATGTACCGAGGCGCAAATATGTCGAACCATTCGTGTTGGTGTTGGGAGGACGGGGGAGGGGGATACGTCAAAGAAAAGCGGCATTTGAATAATTTCGCATATTGTTTGCACTCAACAAAAGGCGCCACACAGACCCCTGCATACATATGTATGTCTATAGATACAGTTGTTCTCATATCTCGGCGATGGTATCTAAAAAAACAAAAAAGGTGTTGGGTTCCGCTGACGTCAGTTGTAGTCGTTGTTGTTGTTGTTGACGTGTTTCTTCTTTTTAGGGGTATACAAAAACGTAACTAAAGCTGCATGAGAATGCTCAAGGTTTGGGCAGAGTTTTTTTTTTGAAACCCTTGCCTAGGCTTTTCCGGCCTATAAACAAACCTGTTGACAGCCGCGGCACCCAGCGAAGCGTCAATTTCATAGCGTTTCGAGTCTAATTTGTTTTGACGGACATGTCTTATGCATCAATTTTAATATACTATATACACACATAAGGCACATAAACTATATGCGCAGAGCGATAAGGTCGGCGCTCCTATAAAAATAAATAAAATAATAATAACAAGAAAGCAACGACTCGCATATCAAATATGATTAAACACGAAATGATTATTTTTATAACCTACGTCAGAGGCGAATTGTTTCAAAATAATTTTATGCTTTTATTTATGGTATTGATTGATTTTGCAAGCTAAGCTCGTAATACTCGTAGACTCGTAAGTCCCGGTCGTTTCTGGGTAAACATTTGATCGATTGTAGAAAGCGATTGCCTGGAAATTTATTATTTCTAGGCTATTAAAACGTGATATGAGATCATTTATGACAGTTTTCTTAACTAGTCAACCGTAAAGATTAAAGACAAAATCCTTTTAAGTTATACTAAGGCAAAAATGATATAGTCGAAGATCGGATAAAGAAACTTTGTATCACTTATTTTTAAGATTTTTAAGATAACCTGGATAGCTACAATTAAATAAAAATGATTTCATTCCATTCCATTTCATTTCTATGATTAAACTGTTTGGGATGACGAAACCTTTTGCCAAGAAAAAACTTTTTCTAGACTCGTATAGAACAAAACGAGCTTATTTGTGACCTCATTTAGCTTATAATAAAGCATATTCAAGTGTAAAGATTTTGTTTCTAGATGCAAACATTTTCCAGACCCATTTCAAAGCAATTTAATTTCGATTATAAAATTTCTTAGATTTCTATATTAATAGGCTAACTTTATCGAGTCACATATCGCTCGACTGTTTTTACAGCTAACTTTTCAGTCAATCTGAAGTGCAAAGCGCTTAGAATGCCTTAGATAGGGCGACTCTATCAATAAACCCAAATATTTGCTATCTAATCAATTGAGGGGGGAAGTAGGGGGAGGCCATATCACTTCAAGGCGTTCAAATGTTATATAAAAGACTTGTTCAAATGTTTGATCGCAGCACCCACACACATACATACATATATATATGTATGTATATATATACTGTATATGGTCAACTTCCGTCGAGCTTTGGCAAAACCAACACCTGAAACTATATCTAATCGTCTTCGTCGTCGGCAACTCGAGAACGCCAGGTGTATTTGTACATATTTACAGTGGTCTTTGGCTAATTTGAACTAATAAAAATGAAAATTCTTTAGATATTGTTATCGACCTAGAAATTTACAGTTTTTACAATTCATACAGCATGCTCAATAAATGGAAGAGTATGTTTTTAGGTTTTCGATCGATCGACTTTGAATTAATTATTAATTTTTGTGAAAATACGCCATAAAAAATACATTTGAAATAAAACATAAACTCAAAGAACACTATAGATTGGCCAATCAAAATAATAATCTATAAAACTCATACATTTTTCAAAAATTGTAAGTAATTTCTAAAAATTCCGCACATGGCAAAAATTGACTTTGAAAGCAAAGGCATTTCAACCACTGTAACTACCGTATATATGGGTTGGCATCAATTGAAAATCGGCTTATCGCTGGGCTAGATAAAAGGCTTTTTTTCCTTTGCCCAGTAGTAAGTAGGTTATGTCATAAATGTGAGTCAAAGCGCCCGCAGCAAAGCCAGATTAAAGCTCAGTACGTTGGCGCGCTTTAAATATGGCAACGCCACCCCCGTGCGCAGCGTAGCCAGATCGCAGGCGCTGCCTAATTGTCAAGCCTTAAATGCGCGGCTGACGCCCACCTTAACGCCATATTGGCAATGCTGCACACCTGGCTGCAATGTTTCAGTATGCGTGCGTGCGTGTGTTTGTATTGAGCTTTCAGGCATATCACATGTGATACAAATGAAGCATAAACATTACTTTTAATAGCTTTCACGTGCTATCTCTCTCTCTTTCCCTCTCTTTCGTTTAACTGATTAATTCGCCTGTTTGCATTTGGCTAAATTCTGCCAACTTGTTAGCCAAAAAACCGGCAAATTGCGGTTTATTAATGAACTTTGCAAGTAATTTTTTTCCGTTTTAAAGCCGAATGGTCAGGGCGAAAAGAGAGTTGCCGGTTAACCGGTGCCAACCGGTTATCATTGGCATTAAGCAATACATAAACGCCCATACACACGCATGCATATACATACATACATGCTTATATATGTACATACATACATGCATCTAGCTTTTATTTTAACAAAAGGAATTGCTGTGCTAAATGTGCTGTCAAATGTTTTTTGTTAGCGCTTCTGATGAACTCAGCTATATGAGTCACAACAAGCCACAAAAAAGAAAAAAGCATTTCTGAGCTCAAGTTATGGCAAAGAAGAAAAGCATAATAAAAAATAATTTGCTGAGCGGAAATGAGAAGACAATACGAGCTGTATATTTGATGAGATAATGCCGCGCGGCGCGGCGCAGTCAACAAACTTTGAAGATCAAGTTGTGTTTATCTAAGCCCTCCCCCGCGCGACAGCATGAATCACGTTTAATGCAAAACCAAATATTGAGCACGTAAAACGATTTGTTTTAATTAAAAACTGTTTGCATTTTGCGTAAGCTGTAAAATATATTAAAAAAGAAGAAAACGCTAATTAAATTAAGTGACGCGTGCTGCAAGCAAGAGAAGGTTCGCCGGCGACGTTGACTGTGTGTATTCTCTTATCAGAACGCAAACGCAGCAAGCGCTAAAGCCAAATAAAAAAAAAAAAACGTCGAAAAGGCAGCAGTAAAATGAGTTGAAGAAAAAAAAAATTGGATTATGTGCGGTTAATGTGGCGACGTCGCCACGTTTGGCGTCTGGGGCGAAGAAAAAAGAAAATAATTTTTTTCTTTTCTTCATTATGCTGCACGCTGCACACGTTTGCCCGTTACAATGAAATTCTTGTGCGAATGGCAAAGTAGAACAAGCAGCAGCAGCAGCAACAACAACATGGTCAAGCAGCGGCGGCAGAGACAGAAGCCAAAGCAGAAAGCGAAACAGCAAAATAACCGCAATGCGGCAAATGAAACGGTTATGGAAGAAAACAACAAAACGTAGGCGCCGCAACCGACCAACTGAAAGAGAGTGTGAGCGAGCGAGCGCAACTGCGAAAACGCCAAAGAAAGCGCACGCAGATAAAAGTGCGCGACCAGAGAGCAAAAGCGACGCAGTGCGAAAAGCGATTGATAACAAATGTGCAGAGCGAGCGAAACGAAACGCAACCAGGCAAAACTGTGTGAAACGGTTATGTGGCTGAGTGTGAGAGAGAGAAAAAGAGAGCGAACTGCTGCGCGCATACGAAACGGTTAAATTGAGCAAATAAACGAAACGCGACAAAGCGACGGCGGCCAAGAATTCCAAAAGCTAAAGAATTTTTGCCGTTTCTTTTCTTATTTTTTGCTTATATTTTTCTTTCAAGCGTATCTAACCTCAATTTTCGTGGTAAATAAAGCGAAACGAAATACAACGAGAAAGAGCAAATTGCAAGGAAATATTAAAATGCCGGTGGCGCTGCTGGAAGCAACGTTATTTTTGTTCTTGTTCTTGCTGCTGCTGCTGTTATGTTGATTATCAATTTTGTCTCACACACAATCATTTTCCCCATATGTATGTATTTATGAGTAGTGCAAATTACGCTGATAAAGTAGCGATTGGCAACACTTTTTTTATATTTTCGATTTTGTAACCAGTTCGCCTCTGCTGCAATAAAGTAAATTCTGCATTGCACACACACACACACACACACACACGCATGCTTTCGAGTGTGTAATACAGCTGCCAGCGGAGCCAACGCGTCGCCTTTGCATGGCGCAAGGGGTGGGCCGGGGCGCGTTTTTGATAACGAGTTTTTGCTGATTTGCTTTAGTTTTCTGCCTGCCATACGTCAATTATATGGGGCGGGCGGGGCGGGGTCATCTACGCGGGGCTTGTTTTTCAGGTAAACCCTTCACAGCACTCGTCTCATCTAGGGTCGTCAACAACTTTTCAGGCATTCAAATGTTGAAATAATTGTGAACTTGAAAATTTTGTTGACGCAAAAATGTATGTATATATTTTGTATTATTTAAATAGATACATTTCCCATTATTTTAGAAACAGATTTTATATTAAAGCATAGCGTGAACTAATAAAAAAAAAGATTGATTTATCCATAATTTCTAATTGGAATATATGGCCCAATAAACGGACATATTACTGTGCGATTTTATTCAGAAAGAAAACCAAATAGGATTCATGAATAAATGAAAACAATTCAAAGATGCAATGAGAAAGTAATAGCAACAATTTCAATTTAAATAATAGCTGAGTAAGGATTTATTCTCTTCATTATTTATTTACAAATCAATAAAATAACAAAGTAGACATATAAATAAAACAATTATATCAAAGACAATTTTAGAGCAGAGAAAATAAACAATATTTAGCTGAGCTTTCAGGCGAAAGATTAAGAAGAAACTGTTATCGATAATCTGTATATAAAAGAATTGGAAATAGGTATTTTGATTTGAACCCTTAATCTCATCTTTAATCTAAAATTTGTATTCTACGGAATGTCTTTTAGTGTCTTCTGTTGTGTGCTCTAAAAACAACCATGACAAATGCATAAAAATGCTATCTACTTCGATATGATAAAGAAAGTAATTATTTGTTCTGACGCCTCTTAAAGGTGACTCATTAAAAACTAACCCTCGCATAAGTTATAAAAACTAAAAAGAAAAAACATTTTCTTGAGCAGGCAGAAAACCAGTTTCCGGTTTCAAAAGTGGCTTTTGGCCAAGGGGGTGAATTTCGGCACAGCTGCTGCTGAAGGGCTAAGGCCAAACGTAATCCAATTGGACAAACAAGCAATTGGCGCCTGCACACGCAGTACACAAACACATTTACGCACACACGTACAAACGAGAACACATGTCCAATTTTAACCTTTGTGTCTTTGAGATTTCGCCAAATTGTTGAATTTTCAATGGAAATTCTTGTGTAAACAATGAATCAAGTTGGTAAGAGGGGTGAGGGGAGGTGCTGTTGCAAAATTTTATGAACTTACCATTTTTGTTGTTGGGTTTTTGTTGTGTTTGGAAAGAAATGTAGCTAAAGGTTAATCCGCTGCGGCTGCTGCTGGCGGCGACTTTTGCTGTGGTATGTGTGAGTGGAATTTACGTGGACGACGACGGCGACGCGCGTTCAACGTATAACTTGTAAATTATTTGCGTTTTAGGCAAATTTTTTAATAACACACTGTAAAAGATCGAGAAGAAGAAGATGAAGAGAAAATGCACGTTTGAAAACTGCTGTGTGAATAAACGGGACCAGCAACAACAGCGAACAAAAACAAAAACCAAGCAGCGTCGTTGCCGGCGGCGAACACAAATGAAATGAAGGAAACCAAAAAATGATGCGGGGCAAAAAGCGACAGAAATGTTAACATCGCCGTCACCGCCAACGTCGCCGCTGGCAGCGACGCTGCTTTTCTTTCGCCGTGGCAATTTCTTGTTGCTATTTGTTGCTCTGCCGAATTTATGTATAATTTTTTTTTTTGGGTCTTGCGTTTTTCTTCTTTTTTTATCTTTGGTTTTTGTTCAGATATTTCTATTGTGCGATACAATTGATGAAACACACGCGCGCACACTCGTTAATATATATGCAAATTGCTCGATTTCGGTTTATACAAATATTTAAACTTTTTGAATTTTCTTTTGTTAATTTTGTGTGGGTTTTTTTTTCATGGTAATCACGCTGCCTGACTAGAAGTCCTCTTCAATTTTTGTGGCTTGTGTATTAAATATTTTGCTATTGTGGGTAACTCACGATCCTAATCAGAACTTGCGTCCGTAACGGTTGACAACTCAATTGTAACTGTACCGTTTAAAAACCGTTAGCGTACTACAATAAATTTGCGCTGTTGGGCTGCTGTTTGGCTGCAAAGCAAATGTTAAATGGCCGCTGTTATATGCTCAAATGAGCTGCACTCGCGTTCGGCACTGCTCAAGTGAGCTGCTAGCCAAGCTGTTATGCTCAACGGTGCTGTTAATCAACATAACTGCTGTTAATTTACGCTCACTGCTGCAAGCAAGCAATTGAGCGAAACGGTTGTGGAGCGAATCGGTTAGCTGCGCTCTCCATTGCGTTTTCTCGTTTCTGTCGTATTCGCTGCTTTGCGTAAACGCTATAAAGAAGAGGCAAAGTGTAAAGAAATGTTGAGGACGAATTTGCAACAGTCGCGCCGGCGCCTTTGGGCGACAAATTATGTGACAGCTAATTGCATTTGTTAATAATATTTATGAGATTACACGGATCAACAATCGGGCTTGACCTTTGGAAATTATGTGCGCCTGTCCTTGTGACCAATACGCTGATCCTACGTTGATCTTAGCCTCATTTAGATTAACATAAAACACACCCATGCTTAGGCACACACATGCTCACGCATGCATTTTATGATATTGTCCATTCAACTTTTGGGCCCTTCTTTGGGTCAGTTTCCACATCATTCTCTTTGGCCGCGCTCTTTTTGCTTTTACCGTTTTTTTTTTGCCGCAGCGAATTGTCGCAATGTGTTTTTCTTTCCTTTGGCGCAATGTCGTCCAATTCAACGCATGCCAACAAGTTAAGCATGTTAACCTCTGTAAATTAGACAAGAGGCAGCGGGAGGGTGCGATGAAGTAACAATGCAGCAACATTGGCCCAACTGCGACGCTGACGTCGTCACTGGCGATGGCGACGTCGACGGCGACGACAGCAATGCGCCATTTTTCGCCATGAAATTCGGCTTGGGACGTCTTTTGCTCTACGTCCGTCATTCAGTGTGTGTGTGTGTGTGTGTGTTTGGATGTATGTGTGTGTTGGGTAAACATTTTGCAAGCCAGCGAAGCCCCACAAGCCACAGCTAGAGACCTGGCCCAAACCCCAAAAACCATTTTCTCCTTCCATCTGCGACTTGTCAAAGCTTTCGTCGCAATGCGTTCAAAATTGCTGAAAATTCATTTGTTTGGCTCTTCGTTTACACAAGTTTTTTTTCCATCCTTTTTTTGAGGTTATGCTGTTTAATCTTTTATAATTTCATAAACTCGTAGAACTCGGCGAACTCAGGCCCAGCAAATTGAGTGTGCATATGTATGTGTGTGTGTACATACATATATGCAGTTTTAAAGATTTAAATTTAAATTCATAGAAGTTGTGTAAATGGATTTAAAGACAAAAGAAATCAGTTTATGAGCTTTAACCTTTATAAGAATAACCCCATGGAACTCAACCTCTAGTAAACCTAGAGACTCCAAACTTGGTATATGGGCAGATAAATATGCATATTTTATTTTCATTTTTTAGCAACAAATTTGGTATGCATAAAGATGTTCATATAAATTTTGAATACATAGGTTATATTTACCTACATCCATATTTTAATAGTATGTGATTTATGTTTTAATATACATAAATGTTTAAAACATAGATATTTCAAATATTCAATATATATTCGATTATCTGAACTAACTTCTGTGAAGTTTTAAAGGTTTAAAGACTAGTGCCCAACTTCTTAAGGATCTTTATTGTTCCTTCTGGCATTCAAGATAAACATTTTACTTTTTACTTCTTTTGTATGTGAGGAGAATAAAAGCTAATTACCGTGGCACATCTAGCCATAAAACAACCGGAAAATTCTCAGTGTGAGTTCGCTAATTGTCAGCGGAATAAACTACTGCAATTACGCCGGGGATGATGGCATTTTAATAGAGCCACTAAAAGGTGATTTCCTTAACGTTTTGGCCCTCTAATAAGTAGCAGTTGGAGCTGACATTAAAATAGTTTTAGCGTTTAATACACCAGTTTCTACGAGTTTTTTTTTTATGGGCCAGTGACAAAGGAGATGTGAAGAATGTGTAAAGAAGAAGTCTAAAACATGGGCTTCAGAGGTTTATATCATGGTTTACATAAAGGTTCCATTGGATGTCAAAGTTTTCATAAAGGAAATGATGTTTTGCGAAAAGATGTATGAAAAAATTCCGCAAAATCCGGAACACATTGTAGAAAAGAATAGCCTAAATTCAAAGAAATTTCAGTTATATTATCCAATAGTTAAAAATGATCTTAAATTGAAACCATTTTTTCAAGAGAGCCACAAAAAAGTTACGAAATTAGTTTCAGATATTTCGTCTACAAATATCGAGCCTTTTTTATGTTTATTGTTAATGTTATGTTAATGTTGTTAGTGTTAATGTTAACCTTACATAGATGAAGAAAAATATCATTTACATGCTCCGTTCACTTCTTTTTCCCTTTTTTGGCGGCTTTCCGAGCTTTCTTCAGCTTAGCTCGGCGCCATTCTTGCCAATATGCTTGTATCTTGCGAGCAGCCCGATTCATCATGAAGATCATAATTCTCTGTTGCTGCTTGCGCTGTTCCTCCAGTTCATATTGGACGACAATCCTATTGTAGATGGCCTCTTCTTTGCGATAGTGTACCATGAAATCATCCAATTCTTTTTTTGCCGCATTATACATATCCTCCAATTCAAGATTCTCTCGCAATTTTTCGCCAACATTCGAGTCGTACCTGTGTAGAGCATTCTCAAGCTGAATCAACAGTTTGTTTCTGTTCCGGGGAAATAAAGAGATATATATATATATAGAAAGGTTTAAATGTATATATAGTTCTAATAAAAATAGTAAGCAATTAAAAAGTTTGTAGAATGGTAGAAAGAGTTTTAGGTATACTTGGATTCTTAGCTAAAGTTTCTTTTTTTCACTTAAATTTCTTGACAGATATATAGAAAACAGGTGAATTGTTTTGTTTAATTTATTTACACAAGCCTATGTTATCCGTTTATGTGTCAACTAATTCATCTTGTTCCTTATTTAGATAAGTTAAGAAAGCAATAAGCTTACGTTTCCCTTTTATGTGTCAACTACTTCATCTAGATTCTTATTTAGATAAGTTAAGAAAACTATCTAGTTCCTTATTTAGATAAGTTAAGAAAACAATATGCCTGTTTTCCTTCTATGTGTCAATCTACATTCTTATTTAGATAAGTTAAAAAAGAAGTATTTGTTTTTTTTTGAATGTGTCAAGAACTTCATCTAGTTCCTTATTTAGATAAGCCTGTGTTCTTTCTATGTGTCAAGTATCCTTTAGTTTATCTCTTTAGGTCTTATTTACATACTTTTCAGCGCGCAAATCCTTTTCCCTTTCCGCATTATTTGTGATCACCTTTTCGTATTCGGCTCGCGCTTTTTCCAATTCCTCCTCCAATTCAATTTGCTTTTGCATGCTCGCCTTGTGATTCTCGCTTAGAGTTTGACTATGTTTCTCACTGTTAAGCGTGGAAGAACAGTGGGAAATAAAAAATCAATAGTTTCTCAGATACCTTTAATGAACTCACATTTCGTTCTGGATGCGCACATTGTTCTTCCACTTTCTGCTGGCCAGATCAGCCTCTTGTTTTTCTACTATCAGGAATTGGGCGGCCCGTCTCCAGCGCAAAAGCGCAGTCTTTGATCTTAACTTCTTTTTGTAATACTCAATGCGCTCCCTTGTCTCTTCTCTCTCCTGGTACATGATACGCAGCTGACGCTCCATGTTTATCTCAGCCTTGGATGTGCGCCACAGATGACGCTTGGCCACGTCCAGGATCGTTTCAAAGGCAATTAACAGTGTTTTATCGTAGGCAGATACATTATTGAGATACCTTGGAAACATTTCGTACATCTTATAGTTCGATTGAAAATAGTCAATCGTTTGGAGGACTTCGAAATTAAACATCTGTGTATTGACGGCATCTAAACCCTTCAGTCTCCTTAACAGATTTATGGCCGGCTCGTAAGCGGTGTTACGCAGCACAGGTTCCACATTATCCAAATCACTGGCCAATCGGGGCAATATGATCGATATTTTGATCCGCCCAATAGAGGATTCCAGCAGTCGTATAACATTATCGATTTGTGTTTCACGTATGCGCGCGAAATCTGCGTGGAATTGTAGCTCGCAATGTCAAAAACCATATACCAAATGTTATGCTCACCTTCTGCTACCGATGCCTCAACGTGTTGCATGTCTTCACCTTATTTAACATATATATACATACATAGATAGATATACAGATGTTTTATCTATAATATATTTACTTTGTGTCTGTATTCTAACTTGGGGACTGTCTGTCTGTATTTCTTTGTGAGTACTGAACAATATTTATTCGGACAGGCTGTTAGAATAACAATTTTGTTACTTGGCCAACTTGATATGCTGCTAGGTAACGACAAATACAACAAATGAAAGAACTCTCCGAGTTAAAAGAGCTTAACATCTTGGATATGTTGCCCAGATCGATTTTTTCTATGAAGTTTCTTTTATAAATTTTCAATATCTATTGGTAGTAGAGTCTAATAATTTTCTATGGATTCTTTCTCATAGATTTCCTAATACGTTTCTATACAGTTCCCATAGAGATACTTGATATTTACTAGATAGATAACATTTGGATTCTTCCAGAGAATTCCAATGGAGTTTCTTTAGGATTCACATTAAAATTCCATTGGAATCGCGTCTCTCAGGGTATAATAGATAGTTCCAAAGGAGTTCCTTTAATGATCCCAGAGAACTTCTATTACAAACATGCACACGAAGTGCATATGCCCTGTTGAGCTAATTGGGCGTAGGGTATAAATCGCAGTTTGTGAGCTAAATATAGCATGCGTGTGCCGCGGCTGGGCGTGGGTGTGGCACTTGTGGGCGTTGGATGAGCTATGCAAAGTCGTAAAATGGGCGTGGACTGGAGATTGGTGGAGGGGGGGGGGGGAGAGAGGCGTGTTTGGCAGTTGGTTTCAGTTGTATTTGGGCCTTGCCGCCTTCAGGCACCCTGCAAAAAAGTTGATGCAAGAGACGCCCGGCTGTGTTGTTGGTAGGGAAGGGTGCTGTCTCCGGGGTAGGGGGTGGCGTGTGTCGCATTATGTCAACTGGCATGGCATGAATGAAAGCTGCGACAGGCAGAAACAACGGCAACTACAACTGCAAAGCGAACAGAGGCAATGCCAGCGGCATTTCCGTTGCCTGAATGTGTTTGCCAGGAACAGGAACAGGCGTTACGAGAACTTTGGAAGAAGAGGAAGAGGCGTGTCCTGGCAATGGCAAAGCGTAAACTTCCATACAAAGCGCTGACAACAAACAAAATTATTAAAAAACTGGTGTACGAAATTATAGCCCTCAGGTGCGATAAGTTTGTGTGTGAGAGAGTGAGAGTAAGAGTTGAGTATAAGGAAAAGCTATGCAAATTTCTAGATGTTTTTTTCCTTGGGTTTTATTCCAAAACAGTTCCAGGGAAAGAACAGTTCTTAACCATGGGTATTTTCACTTAATTTGGTTTTAACTGTTTCTAACAAGAAATTCCCAGAATGGAAACTAAAATAAAAATCTATAAAATAACAAATGTGCGTGTGTGTGTGTGTGTGTGTCTGGGGGTGAGTGTGAAGTATATATAAAGAAAGATTCCTTTAGTTTTGTTCTTTTTCTTTGGGTTTCATTAAAGAACAGTTCGAGGGAAAAAACAGTTCCTAATCATGGGCAATTTCAGTAAATTTTGCTGTTACTATTTTTAAAAAGAAAAAGTTCCTAAAATGAAACCTAACCTAAAAACCTATAAGATAAATGATAAATGTATATATAAATGTGTAGAAAAATACAGAAATCACAAAATAAAAGCATAAAGGATGCAAAATGTTGAATTATACCACAATAAATATATAAATCAAGTTAAAATAGTTGAATACCTTGGAAAAAACTGACATTCACAAATGAAATTGACCTAAAAATGTTGTATAGATTTCCTTAAACAATTGAACGCTGTAAATCGAATTTATTTATTTTTATATTTGTATTAAAATAAAATTTAAATGTAAATCAAATAAATTTGAAATTGTCCTCTAGAAATTATTAAGACTTAAATATATGTGAGAAGTTGGACTTCTAAAATAAGATTCGGCTCCAGGACCAACGCATTTTAATTTGCTTTAATTTTGAATCGGAACCCTTTTTCACAATAAAAGAATAATAATGTAATTTATTTTAGATTTTCCTCTACTCTAAACACACATACAACAAATATGCCCACAAATAGCGTGTATCCACTTTAACCTTTGATGTTTCCATTTTATAAAGTCCCCTTTTGTATTTGACTGTTTCCATTCATTTTCCAAATGATATGTTACTCAAATAGCTGCAATAAAGCCCACTATCCCCTTTTTTCCATTTAGAAATGCGCCTATTTCCCCTCCCATATGACGCACAATTTACAGGTAACATGAAAGACCTCCAAAAAGCACACATATGCACACACACACATACATTTACAGAGTCCAAACATGGCGCAGCACTAGCTGCTAAAAGTCAATTCGAAAAGAGGCAGAACGAGAGCGAGAGAGAGAGAGAGAGAAAGGCAGCGAGGACAGGCAACCGCAGTGTCAGCTGCGTCAGCATCAGCGCAACAAGTAAGAAGAAGCAATAGGTGAAGAGGTTAAAGCAAACCGTCAAATAATATGCCAGGCACAAAAGCAACAACAGAGCAGAAAACGTCGCAGGCCAAGCAAAAGTCGAAACAAAGTTTTTTTTATTTGTCTGTGTAAACTGCTGCAATGCTGACGAACAACAAAAACAAGAAACAAACACACATGTTTTGTTGTTGCTGGCAGCGAAAGCGTAGCTCACAATGCGAATGCCTGATAAAGATGGTAAGAAAGGGCGATAGCAATAGCTAAAGCATGAAAAAATGACGCATAAGCAGAAGCAGCAGCTCAGACAGAGACAGATAGAGAGAGAGAGAAAGAGAGAGTGGGAGGGAAAGAGTGAAATACACAGACGTCGGCAGAGAGATAGAGAGAGCGCGAGCTTATGTGGTCACGAGAGCGTGCGCCTAGCTGTATGCAGCTGTATTTGACGCTGGCCTCGCCTGGCGTTTGTGTGTGCGTGACAAATGGCCATGTAAAGCGGCACCGCAGAAAAACGTTAACGGTACTGCAAAGAATGTGCAGCGCAAAGCAAAATCAAGCAAATGCTCTCAGCTTGACGCTCTCTGCGTTTTTCCCTTAGCTGCTGCTTGGCCCACATTTGCCAGGCTCAGCTGTGGCTGATTTTTACCGTTTGGGCTGCTCATTATGTCGCTGACGTCGACGTCGACGTCGCCATCGCCATCGCCGTCGCCTTGGCAGCATTTCAGCTTAATGTTATATATTATTATTGTCTTTACTTCATTTTCAGGACTATGTGAAATTTTGCCGTTACACTTCGGCTGGCCGCATTGCAGCTATAAATTTGTGGTTTTTGCATTCGCCAGCTAGATTACTTTGGGGGCATTGAGTGCCTGCGGCCAGGGTTGCCTTAACATTTGATTTTTCGGCATGTGAACGCAAAGAAAGGGTACAATTGAGTCCTTAAGCTGCTGGAAAATGGCATAAATAATTAAAGCTAGATGTGCTCTCATGAACTCTCGAGAGTTGAATAATTTGTTGTTTGTTGGTTTCGTAAATTTATCTGCTGGGCGACACATATTCTAGACTTACTATACATTTTCTGATGAAAGTTTTTCGCTGAAATTAAAGAAACTTTAACAATAGGAACAGTTATCTACAGGTCGTAAGTCCTTGTTTAAATATTACCAATATATTTATATCTGGAAATGTTTTTTCATAACTACCTTTTTCTTCCAATAGGGTATCACATTAATTTGAAGATAGATAAGAAAGCGATAAAATGGCGATACGCATTGCTAAGCGAAACTTTTACTTCATTCAAGCATTCCATGTTTATTAATGCTTCATTTAAACTCTTCACTTTTAAAAGCTGAACAATTTCAAATTCCATTGTCTTTTTATTATATACATTTATATAGTACAATAACTATGAGATCCCACATACTTGATAATGCAGCCCGTGGATGCGACAGTAAAACTTAACGACAATTTTCAGTGGCACTTGCCACTAAATATTTCAACATTCTTATTTCCACTTGCTTGGGTTTTTCTGTCCCTCCCCCCATTCCCAATGTAGGGGTAAGAAGAAAAGTTTTCATTTGAAGCGTTTCCTTTGCAGTTCTCTTATAGGTTTTGCTTAGTTTCTTTCAGGACTCTGCGGCTCGAGTTACTCTCGAACTTTTGGCCTTTGGCAGCTGCTCAGCTACTTTTTTTTTGTTTTTTGCTGTTGTCTCAACCTTTTGGCTTGTAATTTGAATTTTTTCAACTGTGAAGCCTCCCTCGCCCTCCCTTAGGTCAGGCCAAATGTTGCGGGCGTGTGTCTAAGGTTGATTATGGGCCAAAACTTGGTAGCAGAGAGGAGTTCAGTTATCTAATAAACAGTTTGCAATGCGATTTCTATGTGTGTGTGTAGACTTAACATTTGATGCTATTATAAAAGTTTCGTGTCCTTTGTGCTTGCTGTACAACTTACATAATGTAACTTAATATATACCGGTCATATGAGGATGCTCTTGATTCATTACGATGTGATTTTTTAGCTGGTAACAATAACAGTGTAATACTTTAATGTAATCTTTATGTTATAGTAATGTTACTTAAGCCAGTTCAGCAGAATAGCTGTTAATGTAACATAACTTAGTTAACATATGATCAACATACGATCTGCTCATATACATGATAACAGTAACATTCGCACACGCTGTTAAGTAACATGTTTTTACAATGTAATACGCAATGTTGCTCTAACAGCTTAAAGTTCCGCAAAATAGATGTTAATATAATATAACTTAGTTAACATATGATCAACATACGATCTGCTCATATACGTGATAACAGTAACATTCGCACACGCTGTTAAGTAACATGTTTTTACAATGTAACTCGATCTGTCTACTCTCCATGCTTTGGCTCTCTTTCCTTCGCCAAGTTGCGACCTTGGCTTCTTGTGCTTAACAATTTGAGCTAGTAAAACAGATTTTATGTTGCTTAACTCTCTTATAACTTGTGCCTTCTGTGCACAATTCAATAAAGTAGCAACAAGAAATGTTGGCCCCGATTTAATTTATGAATTGTGCTTAAGTTTGTTGCAATTAAAATGAATTTTTGCTGCGCAAAACAAACGACAAATTTTCTTTGATTGACATTTGGACACAAAAATGTAGCATGTATTGATGTTAGAGCGAGACAGCGCGCTTTTATATACTCCATCTGGTTGCACGTTGAGCAGC